GTGGACGCTCGAGGCACAAACTCCCGCGCAGAAGTTGTTGGTCATGCGCTGGGCCAGCTTCAGCATGCTCCGCCGCCCGCCAGCTGTGATGGCTGAGGATGTGGAAATATTATTGGTTAATTTTTTTATTTTAGTGATTATATTATATTGGAAAAAATATTATTTATATTTATGTATTTTATTATATTACCAGAAGGGTCACGGGAAGGGACGGAGGACATGAGTATGGCGAGGCACTCGCACTGGCGTTGGAGAGTGGCGACCCACCGGCGGGCGCCAAAACCGAGGCCGGCGGCAATGGAGGAGCGGTAGAGGTGGTGGACTTGGCTCTCGTCGTATTCCGAGTGTTCAACCCATGTGACCTACACAAAGGAGGTTAATCAAGTTTTTTGGATGCATATTTTTTTTTTTTATAAACAAACAAAGATTTTTAGTTTCCTTATTTATTTTTGCATTTGATAGGCCGTTTCATTCGATCGATAAATGATGACTTTTTAAAGATTTTTCAACGGCACTAATCGATAAATGATAGGCCGTTGAATTCGATAGGCCATTTCATACATATACTTGCATTTTCTGCATTCTTGAAATTTTCATGCAACCTAGACACATTGAAACCTATCACTCAAATTAATATTAGGGCACAATTTTATTTTTTATTTTCAATTACTGATTGAAAAATTAAAATGACACCATATCACATGACCTCAGTTTGGTGCAACAGTAAGTCAAAAATTTGAAGGAACATAAAGTTGTGGGCACAAGATTTTGTGGGCACGAGGTAGAGTGATAATCTGAGTGACATAGAAAAATTAAATAAAAATAAATAAAAAAATTTAATTTTTTTTTTTTTTTAAACTTTTTATATAGATGCTCACATGACAACACAAAAAAAATTACTAGTCTGGGGGTTTTGACTTTTGAATTTTACAGGCTCTTGTTTTGAGTATAAAAACAAAACACAGGCACCATCATGAGAGGCTGGAGCCAGAAAATGACTGGGCCAAAACAAAATTTAATAATGCAAATCAAAGGCCATGGGTGGTGGCCTGATCGAGACAGCATCAAAGATTGGAATAGAAACATCAAACACTTTTTTTTATTGATACCAATGTTTTTTCTTTGATGATTACGATGATTTTTACTTCTAAAATTATATGAAATTAATGTGTCGAACCCAAGGAGCGAATACAGGAGGAAAAAATAAATAGAGTCTTCTAATCCCATTATATTATTGCATTAGAACCTCGATCGGCTCGTGTCCAGTTATAACATAATAGTATAAACGATATGGTTTCTGGGAAGATGGTACGGTCCCGGTACGGAATCATTCCGTAGATATTTGTAACCGTTAGATCAACTATCTATGACGGTTACATATTGATCTAACGGTTACAAAATCCGACTGAATGATTCCGTAACGGGACCTTACCATTTCCCTGGTTTTTTATGTAGTTTTGTGGCAAGAGAGCATCTTGTGTAGGACTACATACTAATATCCGAGTCAAAGTGTAGCAGACCGAAGCCACATATATATAAAGCTACGAAGCTACGTAAACTAACACTTGCGTAAATTTATAATTATTTATTCTAACATAACAAAGTTTTCGAGTAAGCTAATGTAAATTGTTGGTAAAATACACAAAGAACTCTTTGTTTAGTTAAATTAAAAATAATGATAATAATAATCTTGTTGTGTGGCTTGGTGAGTGATTTTTCTCCAATTAAATGCCCTCAACTAAGTTTGAAGGTGGTGCAGTTGTCTCAACAAACTCCATTTAACACTAAAGGGTGAAGGACA